GATTCTAGCAAAGAATTCGTCCCTCTCTAAGTATCGCGGTTCATCCCAGATCAGCGACACTTTCAGGGGTATCGTTGTATTTCATTTAAATTGAATCAAACTTGAACTTGTGCTCAAGATACTTAGGTTCGTTTAATATTTCCGTAATGTGAATGATAGTTATGTTTTATTTAGGTCGATGCATAGGTTGGAGCTATGCATAATTATATTACCATTGTGTCCTTAAATTTATCAAGGCTTCAGGTATGCTAATGTTCTTCGTTTAAGATTAGGGCATAATTCAAAAAACATCATTCTTTTAGAGGACACGTTAAAATAACTCTTCTTTATTACAATGTAAACAATAATGATTTAAGGAGAATGATGGTAATGAGGCTATAAATGTGTTTCATTGTCCCAGCCTTGAAGTTTGAATATTTTAAAAAACGATGCATATTTTCATATTCTTCATTTTATAGCGTATTTATACTAGTTGCTATCAAACATTTTACTTCACATTCGTATCCTTTTTTCTTCGAAATTTAATAACTGTAATCTAGCGCAAAATCGTTTCTAATTCGCACCGATGCGAATAACAATCTATCACTTACGTAATCCGCTTGTCTAGTTAATATTTCATCCTGTTATTTTCTCATCACTAACGACAGATCGGTTGATCGTAGACAACTAACAAATAAAATTTTCAACGTATCCGTTCGTCTGGCGCAATTAAAGGCAGAGCCAGTAATTACTGGCGATTGTAGAACGCCAGTAATTAATATCCTCTGCAATTAAACGGACACAGTTTTCCGTGAAACAGTTCCAATTCCTCGTTGAAACAACTTCAAGTGTATTTCTATTAGAAAAATTTTCATTTCTCACTATTCCCATCGTTTTCATGTTTCTATTATTTTCCTTTTTCCGCTGCATCGAGCAACGTATTAATTAAGAATCATCCTGCATCCGCGTAGGCTAGTTATTTACGCGACCAAGGTGAAGTTCAGCAACGATCACGAGAATGTTTCGACGAAGCAAACATTGGCTGAGTGGAGGTTTTCACCGATCTCGTCTGATCGGTTCTGTATCGATCACCTCGTGGATGGAAAAGTATGATCCTCGAATGCACTCCGGTGCATACTCTGTCTACTCGAAACTCGTGTTTGCTCTGCGTTGAGAGATCGAGAACGGCGTGTTACCGGGACAAAAAGGACCTTGAGAATCCTACCGGTGTCACCGACATTCCCACAGGAGTCATCCTCTATTATATTTAAATTGGGCGAGCGTGCCTCGCGCCCAATATGCAGCTGCACGTGTGCGCACGTTGCACGTGAGTCAATACGCGGCCACGTAGCCGAGCACCGCCCACGTATCGTTACATCCATTTTCTCTTTTTTCCCTTCCACCACGACAAAGGATGCACTTTCGTTTGTCATCGGCCGGGTCCCCGTTCGCCGGAAGTGCGGAATGTTAATTGAGCGATGCTGTCTGCGTTAATATTTATGCTAATCGCTCGTATAATTAGGTGACAGGTTTTCTTCACTATCGTCTCGTTGGATTTTTCGATTCTTCTTTTTTTTCCAACACCGAATGTTTGAAGTGATCGGTAGCGTTTTATTCAGTTTTGCGGTGAGATTTGAATATTTAACGAGAAGAAAGTCAACAGAGACGGAGTGTTTTTTAAATGCTTCTTCTTTTCTTACCGAGATTTTAAATAACACCGTTTGTACCTGGTATTCGATGTTATCATTTTCAGTGAAGAATTTTGCCTTTCAGCTCGATGCACTTTTCTTTTATTAGTTATCTTGATTTTTTGAATAAAAGAAAATTTCTTACCTCTCATCGAACAACACACAGGCAGAACATTAAATTATACTTTTATTATATTCATAAAAATTAAAATGTACACACCTTATTGTTTAAGTCATACTCGTATCAGCTTCTATGCAAGTATCGCAGTATGTATAATATTTAACAATAGAGGTATAGGTACTCTCGAGACGAGACCAGACTTTACGAAACGAATACATGAATTTCCAATTTCGGTTTTCCTTTTTTCTTTTTTTTTTGGTTGATTTTTTTGTTGGTTCGGAGGAGGAGGGTGATACGGTATTTTGTTTAGCTTACATCCGATAATTATTAATATTATTGACTGCTTACAAAATAATACTATTACACAGTAAGTCATCTCTCGGTTTACGACACAGTTCCGGTGTACTCCACAGAATAATTATATCATTTTAGTCCCGCGGATGGCCTACGAGATCGAATAAAGTTTTAATTCAGTAAGTATATTCTGTCTGCGTTTACGGCAATAAACGGTGGGGGACAAACCGCGCGATTCGCTATAAAAAAAATGAAAGGTGAAATAATAAAAATAATGATTAGCTTCCTTCGAAGAAGTTACATGGAATATATCACCTACCTACACTTTTAATCATATATTTTCTTAATATATATTTTTTTTTTTTCATTACTTTTATCTCTCTTCACCGTCTAAGCACGTCGTGCCACTAGTGCGTACGCCTGCGATCGGATTTTTCTCTGTGCGTCTGATTAACTCTGTGTGATTAAAGGTCCGTTCACTCATTAAACATGATAGACACAACATTATTTAATAATAAAATTGTCATATTCTATATCGAAGATCATTCAACGAAAAGAGTACTTTTATATTTCCACAAAGAATACAGGTATTTTTAATAATTATTATGCCACACATGTGAACGGACCTTAAGGCACCTGATAACTCGTTCGCTATTAGCATTCAAATATAACATTCTTTTTTTTTTTTTAATTATAAAATAATATAATTTTGAACCATGTATTTTGTATTTTATATTATTTCCTTTCGACTTTACGACAGAGTTACTAATTGTAATTAATTTTCGCTCTTAGCGAAAGGGTTAATTTTAATAAAAAATGTGAGGCTGATAGCGAACGCGTTAAAAGGCGTCGCTGAAAAGTGATGCTAACTAAGAAAATAATCATATAGGTAAAATGCATAAACCGTTAGAATGAAACTGGTCCATCAAGCAGTCGGATAAAGGGTGTCGATTAGTTACATATGTTTTGGTACGGTTTGTGTTTACACTCGAGCGAGTGAGCGATCACGTCGTTCAGTTCACAAACGGTCTCCGGGCAACGTGCACAGTAGCAGCAGCGTGCGCGAGAAAGGTACGATGCTAATTATTATCGATCTAATTAATGGAATCTGAATTTCCGTCGACGCGACGTATTTAATCGTTCTCTTTCTCTCTCTCTCTCTCTCTCTCTCTCTAATGCGTAACACGAAATAAAAAGTCGCCTAAGCGCCTTTTTCTCATCTATGTATTCTTAATTTATATTACACTGCCAGCTGGATCGTCGCTGCGATCGTGATCGTAACAGTGATTTTACGATTCGTCGGAAACCAGTCATGGAATTAACGTATTTACATCGCAGGATTCACGTGGAACGATTTTTCCATGATCAGCTTACTTGAATTCCGTGTACATACAGTCAGGTTTCGAGTGATTTGGAAAATTAGTAATTTATCGAGGGTAGAATTTTGATACTTGATTATATAGTAATTAACGATGGAATATTTGGAAAATTTTTCATTCGTGTAATAAAGTTTTCTTGCACTTTTACGATTTCGATCGGAGCAACGTATCGTTACAATTTTAGGACGGTTCAAGTTCGATTTACTTCGTGTTCTTATTTGTCAATGTTTCTTTTTAAATGAAAAAGTTACATAATTCTATATTGCAACAGTAACAAGATCCCAATCTTCATTGAATTTATTTATCTTCAGTGAAAATCATAGTCATCGTTGATTTATCTCTATTTAACAAAAAAATTAATTGCTATTGTCAGTAGTTACGTAAAAAAAAAAAAAAGAGATTTGTACGTTTAATTGACAGTTCAATGAAGTAAGGAAAGGAAGAAATGATATTTATAATTAATTATGAAATTCAAGTGAAAAGACGGGATAATTTGATTCACGCGAGTATAATGAAATAGCAGAACATCCCGGAAATCGTCCTTGTACCGTCCCATTGTCTTATATAAGACATCCGAATAGATATCAGTTGAATGGGAACTGACTCTAAACACGTTCTCTGCCTTTAATCACGCAATGCAAAAATAGGCTTTCCTATTTCCGGTCACCTAGGTACCGGAGGGAGTGACACAGCGAATCTACGAATCTACTGAGAATTTCCAAAAAACCTTACAATCTATGTATCGATCATTTTCTTTTCGACTAATTTCTCTTGCTCTGCACATTCGAACAGATGTTATTCTACTTTATAGTAGCGCGAATTCCCGATCCATTGAATTTATATTTTAGCATCTTGAAAGCGGTAATACCGGTATTTAAGCATGTCGATATATGGAAATACAGGTATTCGAGAGATCCCGAATCCAAAATACCGGTATTCGAGGAGTGCAGAGTATGAAATATCGGTATTTTCGAGCTCCAGAAACTGGAAATATAGACGTTCGACCATCCTAAAATAAAGAGTACCGGTATTATAGTACTGTAAAATATTAAATATCTCGTTTAAAAGCGTTCAGATTGAAAAAAAAAAAACCTCCATTAAAGTTAATTCCAAAATACGTGGTTCTTTGAATCGGGAAATTCGAGAAGGTACATACAATGAATGAAAATTGCACGGTCGACAACGCTATTTGGTCGCACCAAGTTCGACGTAATGCAATGTACAATGTCAGCCTCCTTAACGTTAATACGGTAACAATAAACGAAGGGACGATGATTGGGAAAGGGAAAGGAAAGGGTCGTGTAATTGGGCCTGAAAGCTGGTGCACATCGTGTACTATAGTATTCTTACATACTGTGTCGATAAACGCCTAAGTACCAGTGTGGTTGATGGTATCTTTTTTTTTCTTTGCGCACGTACGTTTTTGTCTTTTGTTATTTGCTCTTTTCATTTTTTTTTTTTCTCTCTTTACATTACATTAAAATATAACACCAATCTCGACTCGCTTACATTATACATATACATGTGTGAGTTATTTTCTTTTTTAAATGTATTTTAGCGATGATCGTTCGAACAGTCTCTCACCGTGAAGCGTTTAGAAGAGTTCCGAATTCAATATTAACGTGATTGCACTTTGTCGTAATTGACGACACTGGAAAATGTAGGCTCACTGTGTTAAGCATTAAAAATGTTTCATTAGAGGAAATTTTCAAAGGAATTAAATGCTTGTTTGTGAATCATTTTTGCATAAAGAAAAACAGGCCCAAAAATTATAAAATAAAATTTTTAGACAGTATAATAATTCTTATTATGCTACACAAGTAATTGTACAAATATGGCACGGAACGTTTGAAAAATGATAAGTGCATATTGAAAGAGAGTGATGATTAGAGAAACGAGAAGAGTGCAGCGTAAAACAGCAAAGGATTAAGTTTCACAGCCTTTTGTTATTTAGGAGAATAATTCGTGTAGATTTTTTAATATTCTGAGAAACTGGACCCGTGCAAACCATTTGTTTTTATTTTATTATTTTGGAACTTAGACCGTGTCTGGTTGCAGCTGTGTTGGGTAATGTTAAACTCGGAAGTCTTCCAGAGACAGTTCGTAAAACCGATTGGTCGAAAATATTATTTCTAGAATCCGTTACGGGTACAAAGTACAGTTGCGAACGATTATCACATAGATAATTATAACGATAAAAATGGACATTGTCTTATCGTGGGATGGAATAGGCTGTGTAAGCTCCGTCAATGCTAGATGCTCCGCTGCAATTAAAAAATAAACGAAAAAAATAAAAAAAATAAAAAAAAATAGATATTTTATAATGTACATAGGGTTGTTCAAAGTTAAACGATCAAATTTTATACAGAATGCAGTCGCATAATTAAAAGAAAAATATTTAAAAAATTATATTTCTTGATAGTTGCATGAACTCTTAAGTGTTTATCGTATTACATTTAAAAAGAGGAGCTTAGATTTTAGAATGTTTAGAATGAAAATTTATTCTTAATTACAAAAGTCACATAAAGAAATTTGCAAGTTTTATTCACATTGCATAAAATTGAAATAAATATACACCATTCTTTATAACAGCAATGTTTGATTATTTAATATTTGAGTACCCTGTATGTACATATAAAACAAAAGTAAAACAATTGTATAAAACATAGCGTGTAAAAGAAACGATTGCAAGTTGTCGAAACTTTCTCGTTAACCCTTTTAGTGTCAAATATGTTACTTTCATTTATAAAAAATTTTCTCTTTAATAATAAATGAATTCCAATATGTTATTATTATGTAAAAATTTCATGAAGATCACGCGTGATTGTTGAAATATTTCATCTGAAAAATAGTCTGACACTCAGAGGATTAAAATTCAACGAAACGAATAGAAAAAAAGAAACAAATGTAACGTTAAAAGAAAAACTAAAAACCTGTTGTCTGAAACGAAGAATTTTATTATATCCTATGCCAGGCAGGCATGTAGCATCACTGTGACATTTATGAGTCTTAATTTTCTTTCATCATTAATAATCTTGAATTACCAAAAAATGGACAGAGATATTACCGTTCGATCGCGACGTTTCTTTTCTCGTACAGAGACTCTTCTTCTTTTTTTTTTTTTCTTTTTTAATTCACGTTTGTACGCGAGAACAAGTCCCATTTTTTGTCGCAACAAAGAAACGTCACGTTACGGTGTTTTTTTTTTTTAATTATTTATATTCAATAAATATTACGTACAGTAATATGTTCATTATTGATAGCGTTAGTATTGTTCTAATTGGACAGAAGAGTTATTTTCTTTTTTTTGTTCTGCGGTTGTTTCGTGTTGCTGTTGTTCACAATTTCTTTTTTTTTTTTCGAATGAATTTATTTGCGACTACACCTTAATCGTTCATTCCTTTACTTTTCTCCACTTCTTTGTTTCGTCTTTGCTTATCCTTCGTTATACTCCACACAATCTATTCCGTGAATTAAAAAAAATACGTTATAGTTATTTGATTTTTCCCTCAGGCGATACATACAGTTGTGATTACATATATTTCGAGAAGAATTCATCCTTTTTTTTTTTTCTTTTTATCCTAAAGAAGGGATTACATTTTAGTCGATTGAACGAGATGACGTGAATATCGTTAATTCATTTTGTTTCACTGAGCTTAAATCGCATTGAAATCTGTATCAAATATATATATGTATATTATCAGAGTTCCTCGCGATAAACGATTAGAGAAGAAATTAGAAGGGATGGTGCAACGAAGCTTATACAGGAAAAGAAAGAAATCAATATAATTACATAAACGATGAAAATGTAATAATAAAGCAAGCTCGGTTTTCTTAGTCGTTTTCTTTTCATTGTCTACTTAGCTAAACTTACGAACCTAATATTGCGATCCTATGTAACCATGTTGCATTCGTAGAAGATTGTGTTGGCCTAAGTGTTAACGTAATTAATGTAATTAACATAATCCAAATTAGATTCTTTGCAAATTTGATGCTTTCCAAATTGGACCTTTTAAAAATTCGATGCTTTCCAAATCGAGCCCTTTGTAAATTAAATTCTTTGCAAATTGGAATTTTTCAAATTAGAATTTTCTATATCAGATTCCCTACAAATTGGATTTTTTTCTAAATCATACCATTCGCAAATTACTTCCAATTTGCACTCCTTGCAAATGAAACATTTCCCGAATAGCATATTTTTCTAGAGTTAAGAATCATAGGCTAATACAAACTTCTTTTTACCATGCAACATCCAAGTTCGACGCATCTATAAATTAACGCGTGTCATGTTCGCGCGTAATAAACGTAATATTTGCCGGGCAAAAAGGGGTATTTATGTTACAATAAAAAGGAACTTAACGGGGTCGCGCTAAAAAAATACAATATGTATATATATATATATGAAACAATTGTATACATATAAAATCTTTAAATTAATCTACACAACAGCGCGGTGATTCGCGGTATTTATTTTTCTTTAATTCATGAATTTTGGCTGTCCCAGTTATCGATCAATTTTTCTGATTCACTTCTCCACAATTTAAATTACCGCCTGGTAATTTTGGAGAGTGTATCTATTAATTATAATGCATGTATTTGCGTGTGTATTTAAATATGCCAGATACATTCTGATTTTATTTAAATGCGATTGTTGTTTTATGGAATATTTCTCTTTTTTTTTTATTTATCAAAGTCGACTCGCCAACATTCGTCTTTCTCCCTTTCTTCTTAAGAATGTACAATTAAATCGGAAATTAAACGATCACTTCCAGTTTCGTGTAAAAATTAAAATGGCTCGTCAATACCAGTCGGTGAAACGAAAATTGTGGAATGCTTACAGATCGTTCATTCTTCTCCTTTTTTATATATATATATATATATAATTAAACATCGTCGTCGTCGGTGACTGTCGATATATAATTAAGGGCCAACCGTGTATCGACTCCGTTCCTACGCTACTGAAAAAATGCGAAATAGATACTAAATGCTTTTTCCATCTCAACACGTACCATATTTTTTTTTTTTTTTTTTTTTTTTTCTTTTAAATCGTTATCGATGGATTCCAATGCTTCGTGTGTGTGTGTGTGTGAGATACACATTAATGACCTAACGTTTCAAGTAATTATTTATAAGTATTAATAATCCATAGCTGCCCTAAACGTCTAAGGGACTGAAACACTGCTGCTACACATATCAATAGGCATGTAGCAATTAGGATATTTATTTTTTTTTTCTTGTTTTGTTTTCTTTAGTGGCTTAGTAGTAGAACGAAGGTTACGATGAAGCGGTGTGTGATCCGTTTACTTGCCACGTGGAGAGGATCGTGTGCCGGTTGTTGAGAGACCTTCTCCTCGGCTTCGACTTCGGTGCAAGGAATGTAAACCCTCACCTGAAAGAAACACACCCATTTCAAACTAATTAATATTCGTATATAAGTGGTCCCGGGCATTAGCTTTATCGTTGGCATTAATTTTCCTTGAGATATCTATTCGATAGATTTTTATTTAACATACCTCTGCTGACGCTTCTGCGCATCGGTGCAGATTGAGGAAGAGTAAACGTGTAGTTTCTAAGTGCTCTGCCTCGTTTGTCTTGAATTAATTTGTCCACTTTCACGAATATTCCGCATTTTGGTCGACACGTGAAGTACCTATGGCCGTTCACAGCACCATCGTTTTTACCTGAAACATAAATTGATAACCCCTATTTAGAAACTCTCCCCTTTCAACTTATAAATAATTCTCTTTATCTCTTCTAATATTTAACGCTGTATAAGACAATTTTTAAGCGAAGGAAATCTTACCAGTAGGAGCATCAAGTTCCACTCCTATCCACGTCCCAGACGCGAATTCTGTTGGACCAACGTAAGCTATTACACCTGAATAGCTGTAAGGACGAACCAAAACCGATTCACCAACTATCACCCAGTCTGGTAGTAGTGTTTCGACTCTGCTCAAGTCGTGTCTCGAACCAAATGTTGAACTCTTTTCGCTTACATCGTCTGTTAACAAAAGAAAGACAAGAAATTTTTAATAGATATTCATCAAAGATAAAATAGATCTAATTTTAGAGAATAGTATGTACGTACCATCGATTCTTTCTGAGGAGCTGTTATCACCGTTTTCGTAGGGCATGCTAGGTTGCATTGATTGTTCCAGTCGTGCCGCAGCTTTGCTCTCTGAAACTTGTGGACGGACCATAGGGAATGAAGCTCTGTGCTGAGAACTCGTAGGCCTTCCTGTGTTGGCAGAAGCTTTTCTTCGTCTCACCACCTGGAAATTAGAATTGTAATTCCAAAATTGTGATTTTTTTCCAATTTGCATTCATTGCATTAAATCCACATAGAATAACTAATTATTCTACCAATAAATAATTACCTTTCCCGGTGGTAATTTTGTGTGTACAACCGAGCTACCCTCCAAAGGACTATCTTCACCGGAATTCGAGGTTTGACTGATTTCCATATCACTTTTCCTTCGATTGCTTAAACTTTGACTCGGTGTATCTTTCTTCTGAACAGTTGCATTCGTCGAGTTGCTATTCGCATCGCTGTCGCTTTTCGTCGACGATACAGGACTGTCCATATCCGCGTCCATGTAGGCACCAGTTTCTTCCAAGTTCTTCCTAGTTCGTTCTGAAAATCAATTACACATATTTAATTGTAATATCATTTCGTGACACGAGGAATCTAAAATTTATTACACTGACCCTCGTTACAACTGCTCTCCATCACGTTCAGATTATCCAAAGCGTTCGTCACCTCTCCCATGTATTCCTCCGGCGTTTCCTCCACCAAAGAGCTGTCCATTCGTTCCGGTTTCTTCCCCTCGAGTAGATTCCGATACTCCAGATCTGGGGTTTCGTCAACGCTGATCGATTTCACGCTGATCGAATCCTCGGACGTGAGGTTCGTCGTCGACACAGCTTGGGAACCGTAACCGCTGCTGCTCATGCTTGGCGTGTTGATCTTCGTCGATTGAAGTTCGACAAGAGAATCCAGTGTGCGTGAAGAAGTTAGCGGTTTTACTGGTTTCGCCGGTGCCTGAACGTAATCGTGTGTGACTTGATTGTGACAACGATGGCATTTATTCGTGGTTATTACATGTCTTTGCGATCAACACACACGAGAAGAAACAATCTTACGCGAGATTTTCTCTGATTCTGAAGAACGGTTTCGTTAGAAATTATTTCATCTGATTATTTCTCATATTTTCATTTATAAAATAGGCAATTTTGTTTAGAAGCTAATATTGTTTGAAAAAAAAAAAAAAAAGAAAAAAGTTTCACGTTGAGTGTTTCTTCTTTGAAAAGAAATTTTTGTTTCAATGCCTTCGAGAGTTTATCAATGGGATCGTATTTGCTTTATTTAGTGTCTTTCAAGAATTTCCATGTGTAAGATTGCACGGAGATGGAGTTTTAGTCTTACGATAAGGGCAGGTCTGACCAATGACGCGCTGTACTACTTGCCCGCGCGCCGCACCGTTTTCAGTAGTACGAGTCAACGATAACTCCTCCTATATTCTAATACAGGGCTGAGCAAATAGCGGCTCGTTAAGAGTTTTTTGTGGCCCGCCAAGATATTCAGAAAAATCCGCCTTGAACCCAGATTTCCAATAAAACTGCCACTATTTAATTTAATTTATATTTATTGATTTTTATTTTAAAAGGTACGGCTCTCCGCTAACCTTCGCTTCCACAAAGTGGCTTCCGAGCCAAAATAATTGCCCACCCCATGTTCTAATACATAGAATACTTGAAATTTCGCTTCGAGCAAATGTAAAAGTGTACTCTTTTATTAATAATTGAAGAAAATCAGTGATGATAGTGAAAATGCAAAGGATTCAAAGTATCTAACTAAAATCTATGTAATAATGATTTCAATATACCAAAGAACGTGTACTACCTGATACGATTCGTATTCCGAGTAATCAGCATCGCTCTTCTCTTCATCCTCGTCGTTGATAGGGGTCGGCAGTTGGTTTCCAACGTTCGAGGTTTCCTCGTGCAGAGTTGTCATTCGTAGGGCCAGTTTACTGCCAACCATATTTGGAGATGCTAAAACGAATATCGATAGAATCAGATAGGAATACAGTGACCGATGGGAAGTTCGAATTGTGATTGATCGAATATCAGGGCCGATCTGGCCAATAAAATCAATTCCATTGTTGATTACAATTATTTCTCTTCGCTGGGTCGAACACACATTCTAATGTAATAATCGGGCTTATGAGTCGATCACACTAAGGGTGCCAGGTCGGTTCTGATATACATATTAGTGATAAATATTGAACAAAAGGAGTGTCCATGCCGTTCCTAAAAAAAAAAAAAATAAATAAATAAAAGGATAAAAATATATTCCACGTATTCGGTTATTTTTCTGATTATTAGGCAATCACTGGTTGATATACAGATTGATTATACAGAGTGCAAGAAAACTTTCTCTTCGCTGTATCGTCCCAGTTTTCAGCTATTCTGTATTTCAATAAGTATAATTTTAAAAGTTTCTTTACTTATCATATATTTTCTACATGATACATAGTTGAAGTTTCTTTAATTAGAAGAATATTTCTGTCGAGTGTTTTCCATGTGTAATGAGGTGCGAGTCCAAATCATTCGTCTCGATCGGCAGTTAACTAACAATAAGGCTCAGAAGATTAAGCACATACGTGGAATATAAGGCAGCCTGAAATAAACATAAAACAGAGGTGAAAGAGGTACCGATTATAATTCTAAGCGATATAAAACATCGAACATATACGGAACTATGCACTGCACCATTCGGTACAGTTAGGCTGCAAAGAACGACATTAACTACGAAAGTTTCGATTGAAATAATTTAAAAAAAAAGAGAAACAAAGAACAGAAGACCGTGATTCTTAATTACGTATATTTATATATCTATTGTCACACTACATTAATTATTGAAATAAGGAGTAAGGAAACCAAACAGTCTACTAATCACTACTAGAATGATCGAATTGACTCTTTCAGACTTGCAAGCATTTTAGAATTTTTTTTTCCAAAATAATTTTACGGTAGAATTTGTTATGAAATTTAGCTAATTTTCCTCTCCACTCAGTTCTTAAAATACGAAAATATAATTTTCTAAAAAATATGAAATTTCTCAGAAAAATAAAATAACTCTACAATGCAGCTGGTCAAATATAATTTTAATTACAATAAATTGATTCTTTTTTTTTCAAAATAAAAATTGAGCAAGTTTGAAAGAGTGGTCAACAGCGAGTGTCACCTACACTTGGCAGAGGTGGATTGTTGCAGACGTGTCAATGAGTTGAGATTCAGGTTGAGATTCAGGAAAGTTGGTCTCGCTGAAAGGAGATAGACGTACTGATTACACGGCACTCTTTTATATATCATTTTTCTTTCTGGTCGTTCACTAAAAAAAAACACACACTACGATCTTTTTTCTCCTCTGAATGGCGAGCCTTTTAATGACAGCCTTTTTTTTTTCCTCTTTTTACAGGCTTGTACAGTGATCAATCATGCCTGCAGGCTAGAAGACACTGGATAATGTGAGGCAAACCACACGAAATGTACACTTACACGTCGTTTTCTCGATGGCTGATAAACATTCATTTGCCGATACAATTACTGTACAGGTAAGTGATAACAGAAACTATAAATTTATATTTCTTAATTGTTGTTTCTTTTCTCTTTATTTTATTCTGAGGATCGAACGTTTTCAACTCGCCATTTTAAACACAAATCCAAAATGCACAAATAAAATTTCTAACATTTTTCTAATTTCTAATATTCTGCCTCTCGAGCATAATTTTCAAAGTGACCTCATTTCTGATATAAAATTAAATATGAAACTATAGGAGTCGAATAGTTAAACTTTAATTTATAAATTAATTATCCATATCAATAATTAGAATTTCGAAGTCATATGCATTTTGAATTCGTTATGAATAAATTAACTCGTTTCAAGCCACTCATTTGAAAACATTAAATTTGAAATATTTATCCATACTAATTATTTTTCATACATTATTAATTCAATTAAAAAAAATCTCATACTTAATATTCCCTAATGAGTAACATGAGTCGAAGGGAATTCAAATGAAGAGATTAGTTTAAAGTCAGTGGTGATTGTCTCAGTGTTTTCCAATAAAGATTTGTTATTAATAGTATAGTTAATAGCGTTAGACAGATTCTATACCTTCACAAAGCATGCTTGACTAATTCTTCAAACGATCATCTCATGCATTACTAATTACTGTTTAATTGTTTCCTAATTATTTTGTTGACTTTAAACTAATTCCTCTTTCAGACAAAGAAAATGGGAATCTTGCTAATCATACTTCATCATAAATTTATATATATATACAAAAACAATAAAAATATAATATGTTATATTTTTTCCCATTTTCTTATTTAATTATAAAAGCATCAGCTTTTTTTCCTTAATTCTTCTGAAAAACAATTCAATATCTTCAACGAATAATTTCTTTAATTATCTATTTTAATATCAATGAATTCCAAATTGTTTTTCAAAAGTGAATATCCACCTAAATCATTAATCGTATAAATAAATATTTATGTATGTATATTATGTACACATATATGATACAGTTATCCTACATCTGTTTCTAAAAAGAAATTGGCTCGATAGCACATTCACAGATAGAGACAGTGAAATTAGAACAACTTTACAAGCGACTTTCTTCTCATTTCTTTTTCATTTCTTTCTCTTTTTTTTTTTTTAAGTTGGTCCACTTTGAATTCAGAATTCTTAACATACAGAAGAAAATATGATAATCCATTGAACCCGATTAAACGCATTCGTGCGCGTTCAACGAATTAACCAGATATAGAAAGAAAACTATAGAAATCATTTCTATTCTAATAGAAAAGAATTGTTTCATATATCCATGCTTTCAATTTTTAGAAGATCCGTAGATTCGATAGATTAAATTCGTGAATACAGTGCCGGTGAAACAAAAAGAATAAATGATTTCTACGGTGTGGTGATTCTTTTCCTGATATGTTTTTAAGTTCAATCATTTGATATGATTCGATCAGCACAGATCATCGCATAAGAGAAAAATAAAATTTTTGTGAGCGAAGATACGATTCAGTGACTAGCTGGATGCTTGGTACATTGAAAAACGCATTCGCATGCAAATACGGTGATGGATAGATAGCGTTGCTCACGATTGCAAATGCACAGCATAAACATCATTATTCAGATAGAAAAACATTAAAAATGTTCAGAACTGGAGTTTCGAATTTTCGCGACACTTTTCAAATACACAGAAACGCGGAAAAATATGCAAATATAAAATAATAATTAAGAGAAATTAATTATGCCTAAAGGCAGATAATTAATTTATTTTCAGAATATGGTTCCAGGTTCTGAACATTATCAATGTTACAAAAGAAACATCGTCGATCAGGCTAGAAGCATACTTTTTGATAAACCTAATAAAATTAAAACAGACAAACAGACAGACAGACTCAACCACTCACGAGACATATGTATACTAAAATAAAGTCGTCACTGCCTGTAACGGCATCGATTATTAAATATCAATCAAGACTCCATTTTACCTGAGTTCAGAATGGAGCCTTGCGTGGGCCGAAATAGTTGTAGAAGTAGTAGAGACGTAGTGTTAAAACAGAGGAACAGAAGAGACAAGTTGCATACATTAATCTTGTTGACCTCAGTTATTTTTCTATAAAATTCGCTATTCTTATAACAGCTCGTTAGAAAAATGAAAGACAGTCATAGATACCGTAATTATAAGTGGTGGAGCTTAAGTGTCGTTGCTAAAAAAAAAACGCTAGGCGAATTCTTGGAAAGAAACCACCCTAAAGTGTCCTCAGTGTTTTTAATAAAATTTTGGATATCGATAGATAAGAAAAAAATATTACGTTCAGAATACATATGAATAAATAATTTTTATTTTTTCCCACTAATTCGATAACGCGTCAGTATTAAATATCCGACCACGCGATATTGCGTGCTCAATTGCCAGTGTTTAGAGATTTTGGCACACATCGAACGGTTGGTTTCTTGGCTCTTGTAATACTAAATAAAAATACAGTAGAAGTCACGAATCACTGGCACTAAGAATATTTAAAAGAAATAAATTCAAGAAAATTTTAAGTAGCATCAGTGTTAAATTAATTCAGTTAAGTGGCAAGTGAAAAATTTTAATTAAAAAGTGTAGTCTGCATCCAAAATAATAAAAAGAGAGATTTTATATACCATGATCTATCAACATGCAAAAGCTGATTAAAATCTGAGGGAGGTACATGGGGTGGTTTCCTTATCAGAAAGAATCAAGTTTCTTTCCTTTTTTTTTTTTTTCTTTTACCATGCTCAACTCTCTTTTAGCCGCAACGATGATAATCGCGGTTTATGTATGGTACATTTCTAAGGAAGCTGTAACAATTAAGATGGGTCCAACAGATTGTGCGAAAAAGTTGAACATAGCGTGGTGACATAACAATATGATAAAAGCTGTAAATAGAATAAATACGAGATTCCAGTGTAATGGTGTTGGCTAATTGGGAAATCGGTATTCGCTAAACATTTTGTAAGGACTGTGATCAGAATGTCTTTTGATTGTGTCTGTTCTAAGTGACTGCTGTTTCCTTGCACCCTGTCTATTTTTGTTGCATTTTAATTTGAAAATTAAACTTTGCAAAAATAGATAGAAAATTCATTTTTTGGTTGCTCATAAATATTTGAGAACTCAGTTCAATTGTTATTTAATAAAAGGAAAAGAAAGTGCCATTTCTTATATAAGTACAACAGAATTGTTTTTTTCAGTGACAAAAATATTAAATAAAAATTTGTCTGTGTAAAAATTTAGAGACCTAATGCAAGGAAACGCAAACGATGGATGACATGAATTTTAACAACAAAAAAACCCAAAGAACCAAAAGGGAAACAGATGAAATGGTTATTCTCCATTATCCAATACAAAAGGAATACATAACAGTGGAATTTTCGAACAATCAAAACTAGGGTAAAATTGTAAAAAGTGACTAAATATATATCATGGCAAGGTGATAATATATATGTATATATATATATATATATATAAATATCAAAAAACACTGCATAAGCCACATTTCAAAAAATGAATTAATAGAAATCTCTTTGGTTGAATGTTATTTAAGAAAGCGAAAAATCAAGGCAACGAGAAGTGATTCAATAATCTCTCTAAGGCTAAGGTTCTTAATTAAAAAACACAGTGCCATTAAAATTCATCAAAGCGTTATTATCCATTTGATAATAATTCAATCGTGATCAAAGCAAACTAAGATGTTGCATTCATTAATAATGATGAGATCTCGCATAAGATAGTAAAAAAAAAAAGAACGAAACAAGTTGTCAATTCTCCAACGAAAACATTGAAACGAATTTCAATAATAAATTCATGGGGGAAGGGGGTAAAAGTAGCAATCCATTTAGCGATAATAATTCTGCGTCTGATAGCAAGCTTCTCGTATAAAAAAAAAACAAAAAACAGCGTGATTAAATAAAAATAGTTGTCCTTTGCTATTTCATAAAACTCTTCTAACGTTTCCAACGTTCATGGCAAAAATAATGCTTGCAGAGCAACAGAACTTTCCTTGCACATAATCTTGAAATTACCTTTTTGTTGTCGTACTTTATGGTAGTACCGTTGGTTATTGTTAAAGTTATTATGAACAATAGTAAACGTGTTAATTCGATGTTACCATTTTGAAAGGATAATTAAGAGTGATGTAATAATCGTTCGTAATTGAAAATGGATTACTACAGAAAAACGAACGGTGAAACTAATACATATGAAAATGAGAAGATGAATGTATGAGTGAATTCTGTGTGAATAATAAGAGAAAGAATTTTTCGTTGATCGTTTAGTATCGTTTTATTAATAGTACCAATTAATTTCTTCATCTTCTATGATTTCTTATATCTCATAATTGTGTGCTAATCATCAACACCTTATCAACCTAATTAATTGACTAAGAATCTATGACTCAATTAAAATAAAAAGTTATTCATTTCTAAAGTAACAATGCTTATTTATTTGATTTGCAAATGGTAGGATAAGGTGTTAACAATCGTCTGGATAATTTCATTTACTCAAGAAATCATAGAATATTTATTTACTGAATTTACGTGAAAATGTATCACTATCGAATTCAATAAGTGAAAGGTGAATGCATGCTTACCGATTCCGAATGGCTTCGATGGGGTGGACACAAAGTTCTCCTCGTTCCTTGTATGACCCGTGGACGCACGTCGAGAGTGTAATAAACCGTTTAATTCGGTATTGAGATCGGTTACGCTCTCGGAACGTGTCACGTTCAAAGAATCCATCGACGTGTCGGATCTCATGATCTGCAAGCAACAGCGTGTCGTATCATTCACGTTTCTAGGTAATCTGGTTACCGTTGTTCAATGCATTCTCTAAATAAATCTAAATAAATCAATGTTGAATTTGAACGAGGAACAAATAAAATAAAATATGATCCAATAATTATTTAATCAAAAAACAAAATGAAAAAAAAAAAAAACAAATGAACTGAAGTAAAGGGTATCAAATCTATTTAATGTAATATAAAATTAAGAAAGAAAAAACAAATTAAACGAAAAGCATACAGTGCGTCCAAGACGGCGAAGAGGCAGTAGTACCTGCGAGAAGTTGGGTACACTTGCTGTCTTGCGCATAAGTGGTTGCCCTTGTGCTTGGAGCAGTTCTTTCACAGCAACACTTTGTCGTAATCGGTCTAAGGTCAAGATACTTTCCACCGCAGAAACACCACGTGTGTATTTTTCTAAGCAAACATCAGAAGCGTTAATTTCCGGGCTACTATTCTAAAATCATCCCTAATGACACCCCTGAGTCATATAGAATTCTTCATTAAAATTTCCCTTACCAATGTACGTTTCGCCATCGCACAAACTATTATCTTCACCGCTCGCTGCTATTTGAGCCAAACTCTCACGGTCCTCCAGTTCTTCGCTCGCCTTTGGTATGTTAGATACAACTTCGTAAGTGACGCCAGTTTGGGTCAAACAGTCTGTCCGAACAATTTTCTTGAAGATTCTGTCCGTGATGCTCTGTCTTTTGTATATGTTTAAGGCCAATCGTTTACGTAGCACCAGATCCATTGGCGCGGGATGCGACAGACGTACCGTTGTTTTTAGAATCAGGAAAACTCGCTCGTTAGCTGAAATATATTTTTGTTGTAGAAGGAAAAAGTTTCGGATGATCGATAATTTAATGGATCATAAAATATAGCAACCCACCATCTGTAACTTTGTTCAGGTGTATGTTGTCGTGTATACTGGAGTCCCAAGCAGCAATGGCACACACGTCCTTTTCTACGTGTCGAATTATTGGTAAACTGTAAAATTTATTCCCGTGTTCCTTCGGCAAGATGGAGTTCAACCCTGTCACAGAAACCTCCTCTCCGGACTGGTGAGTGGAGAGGTCGTCAGCTGTACATATTAACATAACGGGTGATTTATGGTAACAGAAACTTTGAATAGCTATAAAAAATGTTGAAAGTACCATTGAGATCAAGAAAGAGAACTGGAATGTGTGGTTCCATGCCTGCAGGAGGATTCCAATCAGCAGGAGCACCTGGAATTCCTGATCCTGCTGCAGGAACTAACACTGCGTTTCTTTCCTCTGTCAAACTGACCCACTGATCCACCAGGCTCTGTTCCCTTTCAATATCTTGCTCCGTTTTATCTGTACACACAAAATTTCATCAATTTTATGCAATGATTGTTTAACTAATCAGCATATCTTTCTGATAAGCATACCCTGTTTGTTGATCAGCTTCTGTATCTGTTGATCCAAGTATTGTCTCCTTCTCATCAACGCCTCGCTCCATTTCTCTCTTAATATTCTTAAGTCTTCATCTTGATAACTGTCCAACGGAATTTGCAGACGATTCCTTACAGACACACTGCCGACGGCTATGTTTAATATCGACTGACAAATTATTGGCAATGTTCCTGAGTTTTGTACTGGTTTCACGCGAACTTGTATTCGCCGTTGTTGCCCTTGCCGTAACTGATAAATACCCCCTTAAAAAAGGAACAACAAGCTTTGGTCTTCGGTTCTCAATTGAATTATTCATCTGAAACACTTACCTGTCCACATATCTTGTTTCACTACTACGTCAACTGGAGAATATTCTCCTTGTTCGTTCAATTCTTGAATCTCTACCCACAGTTCAATCTTCCTCGTTAATTCGGACCATCTATCAGCCAGTGATCTAGCTTTGGCTAATTGTTGTTCAACTTCCCAGCCAGGTTTGCTTCTCGAGAAACCGGCGCTTCGGTGTCCCCAAACTTCTATGCTTAAGGCCCCTTCTGCGATTCGAAAAATTGAATATCGTATAAATTTTGTGATAGGATTTTATGATAGAATTTCTCGATTCTCAGAATGGTCCCTTTACCAGAACAGTGTTCCATGAACTCTTCCGTGATGGGCACGTTAAAATCCGTCGTGTGATCAAACTTGAACACCAAAGAGTCTCTCTGTCCCATTTGACAATTGGAATTAAGATGTTCGGTGTTATCCACCGCCGGCACCACTATTGGTTCTGGATGTCCATAAAACATATACTGACAAAACACAAAATGACTGAGGGACAACGGTAAACCGGTGGCTTGTTTGATGGTCACGCGACAGGTGATGTGACTCGATCCGGAGTAATCTTCCGGTTCCGACGAGGTACTGTCAGCCGATGATTCCGATGCAGCCTCGCAGATACGATCCTGAGGGAAATGGCCGGATATGCGACTAATCTCGACCTGGAGTCGTCCAGCGACTTCTCCCTGTTGGCTGATTATCGGGGTGTGATAGTCTAACCGTACGTCGTGAAACAGAACCTCTAAGAAAATATTCGCTACTCCGATTAGATTATGGTTCTCCTGGGACTCGTAGAAAGGATCTTGCGTTTTCCCCGGTACCTCGTCCTGTTGAAAATAGAAATGTTTATTCATTCTTTCATTTTCAATTTCACGTCAAGTCGATCAGCTTCGCTTCTAACAGCGTTATAATTGAGCTGAAAATTTACCTACCTTCATGACAGGTGGTCGTTGACAATTGGGATCTTTTCTGTCCTCGTACATATCCCGCATGTCGACTAATTTGTTTTCTAATTTCTCCATCGTCCACACCTGGCTGCCCGTGTTCATTCTCTTCACCAGAATCGCTGGTTCGCTGACGAATGCTCCACGCTGAAAAAATACACTCTGCATGTCGGAGAGTGTGAAAAGTAAAAGAAACAGAAATAAATAAACGAACATAAAAGAAGAAAATAATAGCAATGAAAATATAGAACAAAGAAAAGTATTCAAAAATAATAAAAGAAAATTTGTAATATAAGGATCGTTTAATAGATACGTGGAAACGTTTCCTCTCAGAATAGCCTTAATAGCAAACCATGAAAATTTCAAGAAACACCTGACAAGACTAATGATAGATTAGCTTTTCTCGTATATTTTACCTTTCTATTTGGACTTAAATTATTCGGCGGAATTTGTAAAGTGACGCTAAACTTGGTCTGTTTCCCCATTTCCTCAGCCAAGAAGTTAGCCTCCTGCACCAAAGCGTTCGCCTTCAGTATGTCAGCTTTTAATTGACCTAAACTCCTCTTGAACATCTCGTCCCTCTCCTGCGCCCATTTCTCCACACGCATTTGAGTGGTCGGTGTGCAAGCGTGCATTTTACCGCTTTGACTACCCCTCAGTGGGTCGTACGGTACGTACGGCGAGTACGGTGTCGAAGGAGACAAAATATTGCGAAGCTGTTGAAACTGTCGCTCGTATTCCTGCCTCTGCTTCTCCAGTGCAACCTGAAGTTGAAAGAAAAATATTTCTATATTCATTTCAGCAGATACATGGTCACAGTAGCTTGGATTAGATATTCAGTGAATAATTTAATATTCCAAGTGATTGATAGTTCAACATTCTTAACTAAAAACAGAAGTTGAAAAATGAATTTAACTTAAATTAACACCAGAAACATTTAACGAAGAAGTAGACAAATACCGAAGACAATAGGAATCTTGAAAAGGATTTTAAAAAGCAGAAGTTTCAAGCATACCTGCTTATCTTCCTCGTGCTGCTTTTCTAGTCTCGCGATGGCTCTTTGAATAGGATCGTTCGACAGCTCGTTAAGCATCAATTCTTCTCGGGCAAAGTTGTAATCAATATTCTGAGCGGGTGTTTGAGGCTCGCTGTTAATTGCTGCGAACGTAGACTCGATAAGAAGGCAATTTCCTTTTTTTATTTTTTATTTTTTATTTTTTTTATTCAATTAATCAGACTCGAGGAAACATTACCTGTTGCACTTCTCGGACAGTTCACCCGGAAGAAATGATGATTGCCCCATACGATCCTATCCCCGTGTAGTAAGGGTGTTTTCTCCACCACCTGGGTGCCGTTTACGAAACACCTAGCACCGTTTAATGGCGTCATGTAGAGGCCAGATTCTTCTATCGTGATGACACAGTGTTCAGGTAGGATACCTAATCCGTGTAATTGAATATCCTGCTCGGTTTTCGCCGAACGACCTCCCACCAGAGTCCTTTCCTACAAAGTACACCAGGCATTAATTTCTTAGAAATACCATTTTCATTTATTTCATCTGAGAACATCCCATCGTACTTTTAGGTAGTAAACCAACAACTCGTTCAAACTAGGATCGTCGTTCAGATTGACGAGGTAATACTTGTTCTTCTCCACTTGGATACCAGAAGCTTGAACGCTGATCCCCATTTTCTCCAGGGCTTGCTGCCTTTCGTGCTGCAACCTCTCCGTTTTTACCAGCTTCTCTTCCCACGTTTGAGACATCTCCTTCATTAATCGTTCCGATTCAGACAGCTTCTCCGTGATGTCTGTGCGTTGTTGGCCCACTATCGAACCTTGTCCCTTTTGTTTAAGAAAAAGAGAAAAAGAATTTTGATCAAAGTTCTGTCTTTACTCGATGATCGAGTAATAATAGTTGAATGGAAAACGGATGAAAGGTATCTACATACAGTGGGTCTGTCTTTCAATATGCCTACAATTAAAATTTCTGAAAATTTCGAATTTTCATCTAAAAACGTGACTAGTTATAACATACTTAAATTTACAAATGTTATATTTCTAAATTTTCATTATAGACTCGCATAAAAAAGTTGAAAAATTATCCTTCATTATATTTTTTCTCACGATTTCGACAAACTGTAATTTTTTAAAACAACAAAATTACATATCTTAGTAAATTAATTTTTATAGCTTCTCAAAAAGCCTCCAGTCATATGGTCGAATTTTAAACGAGGTACTCGTGTTTTAAATAATGTACAAATACTTTTTGAACCCACTGTATATACTACAGCGAAGGTGGTAATGACCATTAAGTTCGTTTGAACGCGTCTCGATGACTCACAGTCGCGTGTAACAGCATCTCCTTCAACGTTTCCACTTCCTGTCTCAATTCCCGTATGATCCTAGCGTTCGGATCCTCGTTGACCACCGCGTGATTCACGATCCTCTTCGCTCTGTCCGCGTATCGAAGAGTAGAAAGGGTTTCCTCGTAGTTATCCGCCGCTGGAGATATAGTAGCCACCATCACTGTTTTACTGTTTCCACCGAGATTATCCTGAATTTCAAATAACCCATTCAATATTTATGAATCTGAACCCGTTCACAGCCACTGGCGTAATTTCTATTTGATTTCTATGGAAATTCTCTTTCCAGTCAATTTGATCGATTTCTCTTGGATTTTACTATTATTTTATATTATATCGATACCTTTAACAGCCACGTGAGAACAGAATCCCTGTACGGCACAAATTTGTCCTTATTCTTATTACTTCCGGAATTCTGATCCGCCAGCTTTGAAATGACTAGACCCAACGTCGTTAGGGATCTGGAAATATTTTTATAATATTATATAGATTGTATTATATCACTCTGCTTGGAAAATATTTTATTTTCATACAAAGGATTTTTACTTGTTTATATTGCTTCCTTCTTTAAGCCTATCGCCCACTGCCCCAGTTTTCACAGCCCTTTCGCTCCCCGCTAAATCCACCAAACTCATCCTGGATACCTTCTCCCCGCTCACCCCGCTCTTCGAATCCGTCAATGTCTGCGTTAGGATCACGGAGAAGACCGCGTGAGAACGAGAACTCTCGGAATTCATATTTGTCGCTGCCACCGTTCTCGATTTATTCCCCTCCGCCATCAGATTGTCAATGTCCTGTCGAATTAACGATCAATTTATTTACGGTTTAAAAATCGCGATGGTGTTCGATGATGAAAAATTGAAAGGAATAAATGAAAATTATTAATCCTAGTTCAGAGTCGATAGAGCAAATTGAAACATATCACGCGTTACTGGTATGTACGAAACGTGTTTGTTGCATAAAACAGCTAACCACTACCTTCGATCCATGTAAAACGACCTGATTTTACTTTCTGAAAGGATCGTGTATCATTACCTTCGTTCAGTTTAATGTTCCTACCACGGCTGGACGATCAGTAAAAGTCAGTCGATCGATCGATCACGATCCTGACGATCCATTGTTTCCTCTTTAATTCATTCATGAATACAATTCACACGATATCGTACAATCGATGGATCATTCGAGGTGTTAATTCATCGTTAATCATTCGAAGCTATCGTCGTTCGCAAAATTGATAAAAATAATAAGACTCTGAGATTTTGAAATCGTCGAATTTTATTTTCAATTGCCAAACTGATATTGCTGTTTGATATTTGATACTCGGTCGGAGCAGAATTGTCTTTTGCTATAGAATTCGATCACGCAGAATGTTGTATCGTTAGAGAAATTAAATTGCTGAAGCACTGCAACGACAGATATTGATCAACAACAGTTTCGCTTTGGAACTGAGCCAATTGTCGGTCAAAACAAGTGATAAAGAGACATTACGCCGTTTTTGTGGAGAAAATTTACAAATGTATATCGATGATCATCGAAACAGAGATATGGTTAAATGATAACGTTCGCAGTGATCTAGGTTTCCTTGTTAATATTCATTTTGGTTTAGTCAATGGATTATCGCATACCTGAAAGGATGTGACTGCGAGTTGACTAAGTCCATCCACGTACGGTCCTAAGACATTGTGTTCCCTCACTTTGAGCGACTGTTTGTTCGGCTTTGGATCAAGCAGGTCGTGCACCTTTTCGTTGTAGATCTCCATATACGATACTTCAACCTTGTACGTGAGTTCTAAACTCTGTTGTTTCGCGATCATGTCGAATAAGTTGTCACAAAGACGTGGTATGATGCCTTTGTTCTCGCCGCTTCCCATCATCGTGTACGATTTCCCAGACCCTTGAAAGAAATCATTCCAAAATCGCCATTAACACCTTCGTTACGTAACGCGAGTGACTCTTCAATTTTCATAGGATCGCAGATTACAGAAATTTATAAATTTCCAAATTTCCAGGTCCTCAAATCACCAAATTTCTAAATTTCTAGGCTTCAAATTTCCATGTTCTGAAATTACCAAATTTCTAGCTTCCAAAATTACCAAATATCTAAATTTCTATAAATTTCCAAATTTCCAGGTCCTCAAATTGCTAAGTTCTGAAATTACCAAATTTCTAAATTTCTAGGTTTCAAATTTCCATGTTCTGAAATTACCAAATTTCTAGCTTCCAAAATTACCAAATATCTAAATTTCCAAGTTCCCGAATTACCAAATTTCCAAGTCCTCAAATTTCTAAGTTCTCAAATTAGGGAACTAGGTAATTTAGGAATTTGAAAGCACCAAACTCGTTCACTTTGGGATAAAATGAGTTTCTTCTACTATATCGTCATCTCCAAGAATCCTCCGCTCCAAACTCGCTCTTTGGCAATATAACGAGTGTCTACCCAAGGGAAACAGATAAAGCAAGTATTTGCAATGCCTACGAAGCAAAGTTTAACCCTCAATTGACACTACACCGTATTCTCAACCCTTAACAGGTTTCTCATTCTCAACTTCTTGCCAAGTTATCTTCGTCTTCGAGTCGATAAGTGCTTTGAGAGGATGATAAGTCGAGAGGTTAAATCCGATTCGTCGATGTCAAGCGAGCACCTAAGTGAATAAGAAAGACCCGCTAGAGCCTTTAGAAGTGTATAATCTGATTCTTTTTTTTTTTTTTCTTCTCTCTTCTCTTCTCTCCTGGAATATACAAGCACGATTGTTCACGCGACAACGTTAGTCGTCTCTCTGTGTAAGATCAACCCACGTTTACCATCGTTGGCCCCTCTAATTGCATTACTCGTCGCGTTCAACTATACACGAGCAGACAGTTATTGCGTCGGGGTTGGAACTCTGCTCTTATCAACAGGAATTAAATGGTACGGGGAACCTAAATGGGGATCGACGCTGAAAATCTCTTATAAAACTGTTTCAATTTCATATTTTTCCAGATAAAGATTTTTACAATTCTTCAATTTTCTAATTGATACACTATCGATTGATTTATTTCACACCACAAATACACAAATTTTTGATGAACAGGTAATTCGTAGATCCATGAATTTAGGGCTATCTAATCATTTTTAATTACTATACAGATATATAATAGTGTTAGTGTGACTTTTGGAAAAAGGGTTGATTTCGAAACTCACCGGTTTGCCCATAAGCGAAGATGCAGGCGTTGTAACCCTGGAATGCATTGTCCAAAATATCACGTCCCAGGGCGTCGAACACCACCTCCTGGCTCGCGAATTTTTCTGCACTTGGGTCCAGCGAATGGAAACAATGATCGAACGCGAACGTTTTCGGTTTGTTCCTGCAATTAGACAAATCAAGAAAATATATCATTTTCATTCATGAAATATATCGCGTTCAATATGTGGCTTCAGATTTATTCCGAAAAGTGTTAGGGTTAATATGTATAAAAATGGTAGAGAAAACTTTATTTTTCTAAATACTTAAAATTACTTGTTTCTTTATTTCACCAAATATTAATACGTCAGTGATGGAATTAAAGCGTCTCAGCTTTAATGCAGTCGCGATATTAATCCATATGTTTGCAATAATGGAAGTCCCAGGAGGTGCAACGCGTAACAATCACATTGTATCAATAATTACATACATCTCACGGTATCTTTCATCAATTTATAGACGCCTGGGATTTCAGCAGCAGGAAAGCTGCGAATGTTGTCACGTAAAGGGGTTGATTACAAACCCTTTCCCTGCTACAAGTATCTTCTCTATTAAATCCACTTTTTCTCGAGGGAGTAAAATGAAACGCTCAGATATTAATTGCAATCTTTTTATAATATTCCAATAATTATCCGCGATACAATGTACAATCTTATATTAATTACTCGTTACATCAAATTATTATAAAGTGCCACTTATGGTATATCAATTTCCAGCTGAAAAATTAAGGAAAATTATTGTACAAAATTTTGATAAATTTTTTTATATATGAAATAATTGAAATAATGGCTGATTTAATCCTTACGTAATAAAGCCAAGTGAACATTAGACGAAAGGTAAAGGTAGAAGAAATGGGATCAGATGGGAAGTGACAAAGCAATCTCATTTTTATGTCCTTGTTGAATTATTAGAAAAGTTGTCGTTTTCCATTGCACGGGAAATACGAAGGCCTGCACGCTGGAAATGAAAACGATTTCCTCTTGTCCTGGATATCAAAGAGCACGACCCTGTCTCAACGTCAAAAAGCTCGATCCCGTTGAAAACGAACGACGTTCTACGCATCGACTCCCTATTGATTTCCCGTCGTATTTTCTACCCGAGTAATCAGTTTCCATCGGCTTTTCCGATTCTCCACGCGGAAAAAAAAACTGGAACGTTTAGTTCACCGGCGAATCATTACGGCTTTATTACTTAAGAAAGCTTGAAACTTGTTAGACCGAACAGGCCGAGTAATTAATGAAAGGGACCAAGAAATGGCAATTGAAAGCTGAATTTCTATCTCTACCCTTCTTCATTTTTTATTTAAAATGACTTTTTTTGTGACTTCATATTTTATGTCGAAGAATTGTTTCAAACTTTTCAGTTACTGTTTATTATAATTAATGATCAGACATTTTATATAGCAAAAATTAATTAAGCGTTTATGTAGTTATTTTCTTCAGTCTTTAAGCTTTAAATTGATATATCGTAAGCGCTGTTTCGTGATACTTTTATGTCATGAAATTGTCTTAGAATTTTTACGTTCTACAATGTGGTACTTGTGCGTTGCGATCCACGATCGCTCATTCCGTATTAAGAATATTAACGAAACCTTTATATAGTCATTTTCATTAGATTTTAAACTTTAAATTGATATATCGTGAGTGCCGTTTCGCGATACTTTTATGTCACGAAATTGTGTCAGACTTTATCCGATATTGTACTTCGACATTGCGAAAGATGTACAGTGAACGGTTCATCGATAATACTGAAAAATTTACCATCTCGTTGATGTGTACACTTTCCAACTCTGTTCTCGTCCCTTCGATGTTTTATGTAAATCCAATATTTCCAATTTTTTTACACGCTTTACTTGGACGGTACTCGTTGCAAAATCAGCGACGAAAAAACCCTTGCCGAGTTAAATGAATACGATTTCATCTGAAATAGTCGTGAATGAATGCCGGGGGAAAAAAAAAAAAAAAAAACGCCGGGCTTCTTTAATATGCATGGAAATTCCGAGTGGCTGTTTGATTCATTCAACCGAGCCGAATTTAAATTCAGATTACGCTTTTCTTTACATCTCTCGCCCCGTTGTTTTGTCTGTTTAAACTCTGTTCAAAACGATTAAGTTTACTGAACGAACAATTCTCTGATAGTAAAAGCAATTTTATTTTTCACCAAAAATTTGTCAACGCGGAACCTTTCCTTTTTAATTTATCATTTTCCATCAAATTACTATAAAATATTCATTATTCGTTATAACGAATCGTGCATAGATTTATTAAAAATAAAATCGAAATAACAAGAATCAAGTATTCTCCTTCTCTAAAAAAAAAAAAAAAAATAAATTAAAACTCGTCTTATATTTAATGATGCTCGCTATTCAAATTAGTTTGATTACTCGATCGATCGACGTTAATCGAAATTCCCCTAATGGTATCGTGTATAATAAAAGTTTCCGTTCTATCACCGAACCAGGCTATGTATTAAGAGCAAACATAATTAGTTGAGCTAGTGATGTCGCCAGCTAAAAGTTTACCCGTGACATTCTAATTGCGAACGCAGATAAACAAGGAGAAAAAGCAAACGCGTACAGTTTCTCAGCAGTGGGACAAAGTTAATGGGGACAGGTGTGGGATCGATACTGACCCAGGTGTATCTAGAATTTTTTTTCAATTTTTTTTTTCAACACGATTCTAATACTTACCTGAATAAAAATGTCTATTTGCTAATCTTATATTATTGATGGCATTGTTTTCTGTTAATTTACTATACTTCGGTGTATTAAACGCGTTTAATAATTCATCGGTCACGCACGATATTTCCTCCCTAAACTCGGACCTTTCGTTCAACTTTGAACTTTCATTCGATTAGCAAGAAAACTAGCCAGGGGTACTCGAAAGTTTTCAGATCGGAAATTTTACGGGACACCATAGACCTCGGTAAACGATTTCGCGTAGTTTGAAATCGATTGGAAAGTTTGTTGGAAAGGACGAGAGTGGCAGTAAGCAACGGTCGTTTCCCTGCGTTTTCATCGGGCGATAAAACTTTCTCGATCGGCCCTGGCGAACGTGCCAACAGACGTCTCCTCTTGGTCGTGTCTAGCCAGAATTGTTTCGCCGATCGGCGAGGATATCAACGTTTTAATGGCGTCTTAAATCTGAGAAAAACAACGGCGCCACGCGAGAACAGAGAAAAGTAGTTTGCATAATTACCGGTGGCACGCGTTTCATTGCTACGATTAAACCCTTCTCCTCCTCTAAGATAGAAAAGTTTCGGAAGAGTAACGATCCTTATATTCTTCCAGCGAATCTTACCAACTGAAAATGTTCCACTTGAACGGATAGTTTCCAGAGGAATGTGCCATTATTAGGTTGTTGCATATGAAATGGCTAATTTCGAAATAGGGAGATATTCATGACTTAAAAGTACCGCCAAATGGCACTTGTCGTCTATCAAATTAAAGCTTAAGATTTAAGGAAAATTGATGTATAAGAATTTCATCGATATTCTTAGCAGAAATTAGTTGAGGCTTCGTTAGAGCATTAATTTTAATTAAAAAATAAATATATTCTGGCCTCTTATAAACTTTTGTAACATTGCAAATTAGCTGCACCTTTTTTCACATTGATTAGACAAATATTTAACCAACTGGCAAACATCCTCCGCTTCCAATATTTCCACTCTTATATCAAAAGTGTTCCAACTCGTCTGAATCATACACATACACATCGACAAAATACCTGTCTCGCGTCCAAAGATTCCCTCGTCGATAATATCAGGGGGATGACACAGAGGGGTCGTTCACTCCCGAAACCGTCCCAGGGGTGGAGAGGAGAAAAAAAAAAAAGGCAGGGCGTAGTGGAAGAAGGCTCACGAAAACACTTGGCACACGCAAATTGGGCCGACCTCGACGGCTCCGAAGAGATTCGTTTTCGCGTTTCTGGCACGATGTTTGCGAGACTTGTGTGCTAAAGTAGACGCAGGCCGCTCGATAGTCCCTGTTTTAATCGAGACCGAGTTCCTAACGGGTTGCACAGAAGGGTTGACCATCGCGTGACCGTACCCCTTCGACCTCCATTCTACCCAGTGTCCATTAAATCACTATCGTATGTTTCTGTTTTATTAATGATGCTGTTTTCTGACTTTATCTGATGGTCAAAGAATTTTTCATAAGCCCGATGGATTTTTATGGAAATTTAATTATCTTAGGAGACCCATACATGATATTTAAAGTTACTTTCAATAGAATGAACTCACCCTTCGATCTCCATTCTACCCAGTGTCCATTAAATCACTATCGTATGTTTCTGTTTTATTAATCGTGCTGTTTTCTGACTTTATTTGATGGTCAAAGAATTTTCTCATAAGATAATTAGAGTTACTTTCAATAGAATGAATTCACCCTGTATAGCGATGATCTTTCAGAAAGGGATAGAATTTTTATTAACACCCGATGCGATTGGAAAATATAGCTTTTCTAATATAGGTGAGCTTGAACGGCCTTCGACACGCGAACCACTGCAGTGGTCAGACGATAAGTAGTAAAGGTGTACAGGTGGTCAGACGTAACCGAATTGAGTGATTCACTGCTCTAGTTCGAATCTTTACGAGCCCTTTCGTCGGCCCATATTTCTTCGCTCGTGGTATTCTTAGTACGATTCATAGAAAATGAAAAATAGAAATGAAATACAGTGAAACCTCTATAAGTCGTCATTTTCCTTTCCTCGTCATTTTAAAATTTACATGGTTTTTACTCCGCTTAAGTCGTCAAAATTTCTCGGTCCGTTGAGTGACGACTTATCGAGGTTTTAAATTGAAAACGAAAAGGTGGTAAAAGAACAATTTGCAAGAATTTCAATTAGAGTGACAATAGGTGGAAGCCGACTAGTGGTAGTCGCACAATTGGCTCGACAAAACGAATTATCCATGGTGGAAGGCTAGGCTTTCGAAGGGACGGATGCAAATCGGTGAAAGCGGGGGCCGATGAAGATCGCTGCAGGCGGGTCGGAAGTGGCAGGGTGAACGGTGAATCGGGGCTTTAACGAAGGTAAACTTAATTAAGGTAGTTGTCGCTGTCGCAGCACAGGCTGCGTAGGCACAGGACCAATAAATCCGGCATTTCGTTTCAGTAATACAACA